TACCCATTGTTTTCAATATCTCGGACACTTTTGTGTCCATTTTTTCATCATTTTTTTCTTCTCTCTTTTTTATGAATAACTTTTGCATAGCCCCATGTCTCTTTTCTGCAACAAAACTTTGAGAGATAGTAACAAGAACTTGGAGCATTTATTTGGTGGATGGAAAACCTATCAAGCATGTTTTTGTGTTCTCCCCCAGTGTAGGAGTAGAATATTTTTGGGTGGATCTAAATGAAAAGCATGTTTTTGGTCCTACTCCCAGTGTAGTAGTGCATATTTGGGTGGTGTGTACGTGATCTTGATTTTAAGAGCATGACAAATCTCTCAGAGTCACAAAGTTTGACCAAACTCAATGCAAAACAAGCAGTGTATATGTGGAAGTTTTCCTAGCCTAAATAACATGTATAGCTCTGGTGGGAATTCAAGCTTCGTCATACAGGAACTCATCATAGCATTTTTTGTGTTTTCCAAAAAGTAAATCTCTAGAATTTTGGTGTCACTCGGAACAAGATAAACAGCAGCTCAGACCTTCTCATATCATATCCGTCAACTACCTAGACTTAGATCAAGCATATGGTACCCATGAGTTTTAAGTTCAGAGTAAATCTTTATATCAAAACAATCTTATTCAAAACTCAGGAGAATTCAAGGCTGAAAACTAGGTATTTGAAAGGAATTACAACAGAGCAACTATTCATCATTTCCATTTTAAGAGATTATCTTCAGAGTCCATTTTATTTTATTTAGCTCTTAAAAATCAAAATAGACAAACTCTTTTTTATTTTGTTTTCATTTTTTAGATCACACATTATAAACATAAACATACTTCTATATTATTATTACTACTACGGAGATAAATTTTTATTTTGTTTTTGTTTAGTTATGCATCTTTTTTTAAGATATATAAATCGAACTAAGAATAGTAAAAACAATAAGAGAAAAGAGATACTTAGCTAGATGGATGGGGATGCTCCTCCTCCAAGCTGGTTGTTGACGTGGTTGCTCAATGGGGTGGCCGAATGTGGAGGTGATGGAACAAAGCCTCCCAATTTTGGTTTTGCTGTTGTTGGAGACTGGCCACCTCGTGTCCCATAATTGCCTGCCATTGTGTATGATTAAATAACGTACCTTATATGGCAGCAATTGTCTCTTCAATGGTTGTGAGCCTATTGTTGAAGCGTTGATAGGTCTCTTGATTATCATGGTACCCTTGGCTAGAGAAACGCATACGTCCTCCCTCGGTTTGCTCTTGAAGATGAGGATTCTTGTGGTGGCGCCTCCATTAGTGGCGCTTCCAATGGTGGTGCCACCTTCTTCTGCCAAACCCGTCTTGGATTTAAATTTGATTTTGGTTTGACAGGTTCATCTTTCTTTTGACTTGTTCTTCTCTTTGTTTAGCATTTTGCAATCAAGCATTAGTAGTAGAAGCTGGTGACAGCTTGTGTGCTGGCTTCGAACTTTCACTAGTAGAATTTTGGGAATCAACTGACTCTTCCACACTTTGCTTGAAGTGTGTCCTGCTCATAAAGACAAGGTAGAGATCAAGTGCATGGGCTCTGTTGGTGAGAAAACACCAACAGAACCAAAACTTTATTTATTCTTCTCTAACCTTAGGCATATTGAATATGATAAGGTTGATGTCATGTGCTTTGTTCATTCTTATAACATGGGTGATAAGATCAGAAAGATGAGCATAAATATAGCATTTGAAAACATTTGACAAAAATGGTTGAGTTTCTTAATCTATGGAAGGATTGTCTATCTTTTCATAATGTATCAATCTTTACATGATTATGACTATCATCTTCCAGAGATAAGATGTGCAATATTTTAGCTCGTTTGGTTAAGACTATAAGATCAAGAATAGTGGTGCTATGAACAAGCTTAAAGAACAAGACATGTTGAGTTGGTCAGGTTGGATCAAGTAAAGTTGTAACTCAAACATGTTTATTTCTTCATTTATGTGCATATCAGAATCAAGGGAATCCTTTTTAATTAATGACCACTTACCTTAAGATGTTACCTTCATCATTGGAGCCTGATGACACCATGTGATGTTGACTTGTGGTGGTCTTTTCTTCCTGCTTGAAGCTTTCCATGCTTGAGCTGTTCATGAGCATCTTGTGTGCTATATTGTACTCCTTTCTCATTCTTTTGTTATGCCATCCTTTTGTCTTTTCTTGGCATTTTGTTTGGACCTTCTGCTCTTCTCATTGTTTCATTCCTCAGACCTTGATTTGTTTCTACGAATGATCTCCTATTGGCGAGAGCTCATAGTCCACTGAGCAGGACATCTCCCTTGTATTTAGCTTGTCTCTGCACCATCTGATCCAGGAGATGAGGATACGGACAACTGCATGCTCTTGTTTCATCAACCTTTCTTGATTTCTATTGATTTCTTGGCTGACGAGTTGGGGTTCATTGGAGATGTAAGCTCAAGTTCCACCTTGCTTGACTTTGTCCTCTAATGGCATGGCGGAGGGTTCTTCTTCTTTGTTTGTTAGCGATACGCCAGCCGTCTTGATGATCAAAGAAGGAACCTCATTGGTAGTCGCATAGAAGTTTCATCTCCAATGACTAAGGGATGTCGTCTCACGATTACGATCATTCGCGACCTTACAAGACACCATTGACAGACCTCATTGATTACTGATGTTTATTGACATGATGATGCACACCATGATGTAGTGGCATCTTGTTGTCTTAGTCCTTGCTGTTGATGTGCAAGCTGGTCTTTTCGATGGTGATAAAAGCAGGCATATCCTGGTAAATACGAGGTGGGTTGCATCCTGCTTCTCATCAGCATTCTAGTTTGAGTCCTAGGAAGGCTCAATGCTAGGTTGTCTTTGATGTTGCTCATAGCCTGTCGATTTGCTCGTCCAGTTTTATAGCTGTAGTGGTGATTTCTGGATTTGTAGGTTCATACCTTGAATAGTCATAACTTATACTCATTTTTTTTCTACAAAACGTTAGTGGACACATACCCGAGGGAATACAATCAATTTACATTACGGGTTATTGCCCATAACTTTTGTAGTTTTCCTCTATGCTAATGAAAGAATGGTTTTTGGATTGCTTTAGCATAGATTTTGTTTATTAACAAATTTTATGTGTTGGCTGCATTCTAGCATGGTTCAAGGCTAAGATAACTTACAACAAAAGATAAGTGAATAAACCTTGATACTCACAGTTCTTCCTTCCATGAAGAATGAGCTGGGTCTTCTTTGTGCAAAGTTTTTGGAATTCATATGCCTTGCTTCATCTCCGGTGTGAATTTATCTCAGGACTTCCCCAATTTGAGTTTGAGAGTTTTCTACGGGGGTTAGTCCAGCAAAATAACCAGTATCTACTACAACAAGTTTTAGTTCAATAACCAAACTAAACTTCATGTCCAATTTGATTAAGGAAGGCATTTTAACCTAAGCACCACGCTTAATTTAAAAAGCCTTTGGAAATAAGGTCACACACCTCTTGATTTAAACTAAGCACCATGCTTACTTTAAAAGATGTATAAAGATACTTCCAAACCTAAATATACTATAGTAAACAAAAGATAACATGAAAGCATTATAGAGATTTATTCAAATAGAGATGACAGAGCATGATCATGGTAAGAGATTTTTTTAATAAAAGATGCAAGTGGCATGAATGTATGCATGTAACTAAATATGCTGTGAATTTGATATGAGAGAATTTAAACTAAACGGAGTGGATGCATGAATCATTCAAAGTAAACATGCAGTGGAGAGCAAGTATTTAAAAAATAACTACTCAAGTTTAAAGTCCATGAGCAGGACTATCTCACATTTCTTGATCATACTTACCATGACTCACGTGATAGAATTTGTGAGTAGTGCAGTGTTTGTATTTGTCACTTGAGATGTGATTTGAATCTTTGTGAGGTCGACCTTTTTCTCCAATCTATACATGGTTAGAATAATATATATATGTCTATACAAACATGTGAGATAGCAGGGTTCCAACATTGATGGATCTTGAATCTTCAGGCACCCTGGGGTTCTTCAATATTTCTTCTTTTCTTGTGGAAGCTTGCCAGAAGGTCGAAACGGCGTCTGCTATCCTGTCTTATTCCACAATTCAATAGAACAGGGGTAATCCTACTAAAGCTAGTGATAACTAGATTAGCAGATATCAAGCTAGTATCAAAATCTTTACACCAATTGTGTCCTCGGCAACAGCGTCAGAAAGCTTGTTGGTATTTTTAAACGCACACAGATAAATCCGTAAGCGCCGGATACCGCTGTAGCTTTCATCCGGGAGTATTCCAAGGTATCGTATTTGTCCACAGGGAACCAATGGTTCAAGAAGTTGATAGTTCAGCATCATGTATCTAGTAACTAGTATACCAACTAAACAAAAGTGGGGATAAGTGTTGATAATGATAAGAGTTATGAATAATAACACACACATAGTAGAATTTCATGATAAAATAAATGAGCAGTTTAGCTAAGTTGAGAGAACAACGGATGAATTCAAAGTTCCTAAATACTTCTCTATTACTTCAGTTCTATTCTAGTTTAGACTAGAGGTTATAACTAAAGCATGGGTAGATATAGCGCTCACACACAATAGCACTATGGGACATCGGCTTAACATACCTGTATGTTAGGATCTCGTCACAAACTTTCTTGAGCCGACTGCATAGCTTCTTACAAAGCAGAGAAGAGGAAGAGGAACATTCTAGGATAAAACAACTATTTTTATGAGTTTATTTACAAGTAAATGTATCCTTAAAAGTGAAATGCACCATCTATTTACACTTTTCTACTGATATAGTTCTACTTTTCTGAGTTATGCACCTTTTAAAATGTTGAATTCTTGAGTGTAACTGCTGCTGATTCAGTGTATAATTTCTTTCTCCTTGCTTAGATAAATCAAGATCACAAGGTGGACTACTCTAAGAAGGATCTAATTATCCATAGGGACCGGAACAGTCAAAATATTGCAACAGACTTTCAATTTTCATGAACTTGCTGCAGCCACTAAGATCTTCAGGCAAGATTGCCTTTTAGGGGAGGGAGGTTTTGGTCGTGTATATGAAAGACGTTTGGAGAATGGGCAGGTAAGTCTGTCTGAAACCATTTTGATGCTTGTCTGTAAAGCTAAATCCTCTCAAATTTGGCTTCTGAGTTGAAACATTAAGTAAAATGTTGGTCGACAGTGCTAACAAAAGAAATTAATAATTATAATTACACCCTGTATTAGTCTTGGATACTGACATAATTTTACTTCCCAGGCTGTTGCTGTGAAGCAACTTGATCGTAATGGTCTCCAAGGAAATAGGGAATTTCTGGCTGAGGTTCTCATGCTCAGTCTCTTACATCAAACTAACCTGGTCAATCTAATTGTCTACTGTGCTGATGGTGACCAACGCCTTCTTGTTTATGAGTTTATGCCATTGGGGTCACTAGAAGATCATCTGCATGGTTTGTGTTCTTGTCCATGTTATTTTCCGCTTCTCTATGTGCTTTCTTTTCATTATTTTCCGCTTCTCACTGTGCTTTCTTTTCTCATGGTAGCATAAAGAATGATCCTTCCTCGCTTGCTTATAGGAATTGTCCATGGAGGTGAACATTTTGGAGACGACGGTGATTGGCGCTCCATTTCAATATGCATGGTGCGCTTGCCAAATGCTGCTATCGTCGCTGTTGCCAAATGCGAGCAACCAAACAAGACTTATGGGGCCTCCAGCTATATGGCATACGCCTCGTTAGAAGTTCTTTGTTTCAATGCTTAACTTCAAAGTTATTGCGAGGTTCAATACGCCTATGCCAAATGGCCAAAAATGATTTCTTGTTTCTGATTCATTCAAATTTATGCCATCTGATCATGAAATATTGTAAAAATATAGGCCAGTATAATAGTTCTATCAGATTAATTTGATGCTATTTTCTTATGACCATGGATATTACGTGTTACTTGTTAATTCTTATATTTAAGAATAATATTTTTTCTTTATAATGCAATTTTATCCTCTTATTAGTTGATAAAACATCTAATCTAACTTTTCAGAACATATATATATATATATATATATATATATATTGCTTCAATGCGTAAAATAAATATTTCTATAAACACATGCGACGCACGTGCATTTCCACTAGTTTATCATAAATATCTATTCCCTTTATCGTAAATTAGTACAAATATTATCATAAATCAGGGTGGCCATCTTATCTTACTAGTACTAATTAGAGACGAGCACAACTGTGCCAAAAAAAATACTAGTTTTCCCCATTTAGTTAATGCTAGTTAGCAACAAATGTAAAGTAAACCAAGAAGGCCTAAAAGGGAGCTCTCAGTTTTGGCAGCTCCAACTCCGCTGTGCTCGCCACCCGTATGCGCCGCACGCGCACCCGCCGCCGCCTGCAGGCAGCCCGTGCCTCGCCGGCCCGCAGCGTGTCCGCCCACGAGTGAAGGCCGCGTGCGGCCAGCCGCACGCGGCCCGCGCCTGCCCGCACCGCCACACGCGCGGGCCGAGTCGCACCGCCGCTCGCCCTCAGGCACGATGAAGGTAGCTCTCTCTCCCGCATGCGGGCCGCGGCGAGGGATGGCCCCTTTGCTGACTCCAGTAAGCCTTCCCCTCCCTCGCCGCCGGAGCGCCAGCCTTGGCGGCCCTGTTCTCTGGGCTTTGCACCAATTCTCCAACAACAAGACAACTGTGGGAATTGTTTGCCAAGGTGTGGGTAGAGAAGCTGTGACGGCCCACATTAATAAACTGGCTACCGGTGGCGAGTATATCACACATCTCTGGGTGTTGTTGACGCCCCCTTTGTATGATCTTAGACCGGGGCTTCCCAGCCACGCTCGTAGAGGAACTTTTGTAGCTCATCATCTGTAGACACCTCCCAATTTGTCTCAGGCTTCGTATTTGTCGCAGGCATAAAGTTCGGTACTCCCTCCGTCCCTAAAATAACTTCGGTCTTTTTGAGAGTTTTCACGAAACTGTTCGATCTAGCTGGTCCACTAGGCGATTAGACGAGTTTGCCCCTGTGGCCCTCTTTGTTTCCAGCGGCCAGCGTGGTCATTAACGCGTATAAATAAATGTTGTCCCTAGTAGAGAACAGACTTTTCGTCTTTGGCTAGCTTTAGTCTCGGCTAGGATTGGACTCAGGAGTAATAAGAAAATTATTCCCGGTTGAAGCCATCAACCGGGACTAAAATCCTTGGCCCAACGGCTAGGACACCATACTTTTGTTGGAGGGCTCTCAAACCGGAACTGAAGGTCGCCCTTTAGTCCCGATTAGAGCCACTAATTGAGATTAAAGGTCCCGCTGCCCTTTTATTTTGGTTGGTGGGTCCAATCGAGACTAGAGGATGATCTTTAGTCCCGATCGGCTCCATCAACCAGGACTAAATGTCCAAACTATATATCTTGCTTTCATGATCCCCCAGCCCAAGCCATCTAGTTCAATTATTGGTCTTGCCTGTGCACGTGTGTTCTTGGCTTCTTCTTTGCTTTGGTGAGCAAGTTCTTGCTCTCGGCCTATATATTAGTAAAAAAGTAAAATAGGAACGGAGAATGCTCCACTATATTAGTAAAAAAGTAAAAATAAATGCGTCCACTTTAATTTCAAACGTCTTCAGAAATAGGAACGGAGAATGCTCCACTATATATCAATTTCCGTTTTTCCCTTTAGGTAAGATTTAAGAGTTGTAATTTAATAATTAATGTTTATATATATGCATATCGTCTTATGATGATTATGAGTACATAATATGTCAGTGTTGATATTGGAGATGATCCAAATCACACACCAGCAGGGCTAGCACCGTTCAAGGGGTTGCAAATCAACCCACAACCAGCAAGAACCTGAGCGTGATCGACGAAACTGATCTAGAGACTGGTTTTGCCGATGTTGAGTTCGTTCTTGGCTCTATAGACTCTCGAACTTTTCTTGAGAACACTACTACAAAAAGCATTTGTAGGGGCAGCTGGCGATGGTTTGTAGAGGCAGCTCGGCCAGCCGCCCCTACCATACCGTCTCTATAAATCATGCATTTGTAGGAGCGGTTCCTAGACCACCCTTATAAATCGATTTGTAGGGGCGGCTGGTGTTATCAGCCGCCCCCCTATAAATCGATTTATAGGGGCGGCTGTAGTACCAGCCGCCCTTATAATACCTATTTGTAGGGGCGGTTCAGTCTAGAACTGCCCCTACAGTATATTTTCCGCCAAAAAATTCAAATTACCAACACATGCACCCCCAAATCATTCTGTGACGAGTAAAATACATGATCAAGTATCCTAGGAAACTTGACTGTAATATTGTGGCCCAAACAAGATTATTTAGCCAAAAGTTTATAAACATCTTCTATAGTACAAGAATCACAATAATAACAGACATACTCATATTATGACAACAAAATATATATCTATATCAAAAAAGACCAAGCAAGCACTCAAGTGCTAACAAAACAAAAAATAGAGGTAGTATGTGTAGTACAAGTAGATATGTCTAACATGTAATAAATTAGCAAAGAGGGTGTCGACGAAATATGGTCGGCAGTCCACCGAGGGGGGTGCCCGTGGTGGTAGATTATCGGTAGACGGTGCGTGTAATCAGGAACCAGATGGTGACACAAGGCGCAGAGACAGTGATTTAGACAGGTTCGGGCCGTCTGGTCGACGTAATACCCTACGTCCTGTGTCTTTGGTGTATTGTATTGAGATGTATCTGATTAACTTTGTCCTCTAGGGGACCCTTGTCTCTCCTTATATACTCAGAAGAGACAAGGTTACAAGTAAAGTATCCAATTTGGTACTATTACAATATCTAGTACAACTTGTAATCTTGATATGCACGCCTTGATCTTACGGGCCGGGCCACCTCGGATGGTGCGGCCCATGTACCATTTTGTGGTACCCGGGGGTATATCCCCCACAGCTAGTCCCCGAGCGCCATGTATTCTGATGCGACACGCCGTTTCAACCTTCTCCGAATAGTGAGGCTTGAGTTCTTGACATCTCCGACCACCGTTGTCGCCGGAGAAGTAGGTTGTCTGAAGAATGTATGGTGCTCTTAAGAAGAAAGAAAAAGATTTCCGTCCTGGGAAGTGTGCCCACTTGTATTTCTAAAAAGAAATGTAAGTGCATTTTGAAGCGTAGCGTCCTTGATCATCAGAGGCGTAGGGGTCGAAAAATAAACACATTCACCGCAAGGTGAAGTGTGCCCACTTAGTCCCCGAGCCTGGTCTAAAAAGAATTCCCAGTTAAGTTGAGAAACGAATCGTCGTACAGGCGATACAAGATGCACCAGCAGGTGCATCGTACCGATGTAGTCCCCGAGCTTGCTGGAAGGTGAGGTATGAGCCTTGTAGCAAGGTCTAAGTGAGAAAAAATATCACAACTGTATGCGAGTCGCCAGTCGCATGTAGTCGAGATGCAAAGTCCCCGAGCCGTGGTCGGAGAGTGGTCGAGCAGTCCCCGAGCACAGTCGAGGAGCGAGCGGCAAAGTCCCGAGCCATGGTCGGGAGAGTGATCGAGGCGATCCCGAGCACAAGTCGAGGCGGCGACAAGTCCCCAAGCTGTGGTCGGAGAGTGATCGAGGCAATCCCCGTGCGTGAGAAGCGGCGGCGAAAGTCCCGAGCTATGGTCGGAGAGTGATCGAGGCAGTCCCCGAGCGTAGGTCGAGGAGCGAGCGACGAAGTCCTCGAGCCGTGGTCGGAGAGTGGTCGAGGCAGATCCCGTCGTGAAAGCGGCGGCGAAGTCCCCGAGCTGTGGTCGAAGAGTGGTCGGCGGTCCCCGAGCACAGTCGAGGAGCGAGCGACGAAGTCCCCGAGCCATGGTCGGAGAGTGGTCGAGGTAGTCCCCGTGCGTGAGAAGCGAGCGACGAAGTCCCCAAGCTGTGGTCGGAGAGTGGTCGAGGCAGTCCCCGAGCACAGGCCGAGGAGCGAGCGACGAAGTCCCCGAGCATAGCTCGAAATTACTGCAATAAAAATATGTAGAATGGTAGTACATGATGTACAAAATAATAAATTATGGGGAAAAAATCAGCGGTGAAGAAATAGCGTATGACGCTCAGCAGTCATTTGCAAATGAGCATGATGTGATAAAGCAGTTGGTGCTTTGTAAACATCAGTGTTAATATGAAGTTTGCGTTTATACTTAATATAAGCCGTCTGACCAGTTAGTATGTAGCTGAGCCTCCAGCCCTAGCTAGCCCGTTAACCATAACGCGGGGTGCGGAACCCGTGCACGTGTAGGAAGAACAAAGCGTCACTAAGGAGCCGCTGCCAACCACCCATAACGCAGAGGGCAGACGCTCGTGCACGTGTAGGGAGGAGCCAGAGACAGGGCCTTTTCTGGAAACATCGAGCGTCAACATGACTGGTCGAGGATTTGCATTAAGTATAGCTGTATATTATATTTAAGATTGTATACATGGACAAACGTTATTTGAAGAATAATTATGACAAGGACGTTGTGGAGGAATGTCGTAATGAAAATTATATTAAATATAAATATTAGAAGTGTACTTATCTTTGGATAGAAAGCTGGTCGATGGCGATGAAGTTGTCCGGTCCTCGAGCTTTTCGACTTGTCGTCACGACGATGGTCGCGGTTGTCGTAGCGCCGTTCTTCGCGGCGGTCATCATTTGCGACATGGTCTGGTGATCTGGTGGTCGGAGCTCGGTGGAGCCGCTCGGGACGTGGTCGTCGTGGTCTGGTGGTCGGAGCTCGAGACGTGGTCGACGTGGTCTGGTGGTCAGAGCTCCCATATGTGCATGCAT